CCGCGCCAGCACCTCTGCCGCAGCCAGGGGCGGGCAGGGCTGAGCCCTGCCGTACATTCAACAAGAGGGGCAGGGGCAGGGGCAGGGGCTGCCTGTGCAGAAAACCAAAGCACTTGCGTGCCCCTGCCCTGTCGCGGCAAGCCGGGGCAGAAGGCACGGCCCTGGGGAGGAGGGAAGTGCTGGTGCCGGGGGCTCCCGGCCCCGGGGAGAGGCAGGGCTGCGGTGCTGCCCCTGCCCCGGGCAGATCCCGATGAAGCGGCTCCAGCCCCGCTGCTCACACCCCCCCAGGAGAGACAGCCAGCAGCTCGGGGATAAAAGCACTGGGCAGCCCCTGCTCCCCTCGCCCCCCTCCCAGGGAAGGCCCAGCTCCCCCAGGGCTGCTCAGCAGCAACAAACCCTCCAGCAGCCCCTGCCCACGGAGCAGGGCCAGGGCCCACGGGGAGCCCTGCCCCTCCCGGGGGGGCCGGCGGCCAAGGCACGTCCAGGCCAGCTCCCCTACTTGTCGATGAGTCCCCCCTCCTTGAGCTTGAAGTAGAAGAACTTTTCTAAGGTGTTGGCACACTTGCAGTAGTCGCTGTCGGGCGGGTTGTACTCGCGGCAGTTGGTGATGATGCGCTGCAGGTCGGCGATGAACAGCTTCTTGGTGACGTAGTAGCGGTTCTTCAGGCGCTCGGTCATGGTCTTGAGGTCTGGGGGTGGGGAAGGGTCAGCCCCCCCCAGGCCTCTGCACCCCGCAGCCATGGAGCTGGACACCAGCTGAAGGTCCTGGCTCATCCCTCCCTCTTCTGGGCTGGGCTGGGGCTCCCAGCACCCCGTTGCCCCTGCCAGGACACCCCCTCCCCAGGACAGACGCTGCGGACAGGGGGTCTGCAGCCCTCCCTCCGCCATCCTGCCCCGGGCGTCTGGGCACAACCACCTACCGATGGGGAAGCGGATGATTTCGTAGTAATCTGGTGCCTCCGACTTCTTCACTGGCTCCATGAAGGGCCAGGCGCTGGGGGGGGGCTGGGGAGAGGGCAGGAGGCAGG